ACCCATACTCCCAATATTTCTTTCCTTGTTCAACCAATGCTCGAAGGTTCCCTGTGGTACGAGGAAAATGTTGCTTTAAGGATTTTAAAGCTGCCCATTGCCATACTCCTTTAAACCATGTTCCTTCTTTTAACAAAATAAATAAATAAAAAAGATTAAGATTGAAATTTGGTGTGGGTGGTGGTAGAGAAGTGGCAAGAAAATTATAAACCAATGGTGGAAATATTATAATTAATATAAAATTGTAAATTAAGAAATAATATTCTTTATTTATTTATATTATAAAGAAACAATTGCCATACTTCTTTAAACTATGTTCCTTCTTTTAACAAAATAAATAAATAAAAAAGATAAAGATTGCAACTTGGTGTGGGTGGTGTAGAAGTAGCAAACAAATAGTAAGTGGAAATTTTATAATCAATATAAAATTGTTAATTAAGAAATAATATTCTTTATTTATTTATATTATAAAGAAACAATTGCCATACTCCCTTAAACTATGTTCCTTCTTTAAACAAATTAAAAAAATAAAAAAGATAAAAATTGAAACTTGGTGAGGGTGGTGTAGAAGTAGCAAACAAATAGTAAGTGGAAATTTTATAATTAATATAAAATTGTAAATTAAAAACTAAACAATATTTATTTATTTATATTATAAAGAAACAATCAAAATTAAAAATAAAAAATTAAAATGAAGATTTTACTACCCACAAAAAAAAATAAATTTAAAAGATAGTTAACATTAGTTAACATGTGTAAAAGATAATGTTACAGTGACGGTGATTGGCTATATATATATATAATGATTACCAATTACTGATAAACGTGTTGAAACAAGGCCCGCATTGTCGTTTATTCACTTTATGCAAAAGAGGGTTATTTAATAGAGTGAATCATTTATCGAGATGTGAAGTGTTATGATATGAAGAAGTTGAGTACTACTTGTGATGTCGATAAAAATATGATTTAAAAAGATTATGCTTCGTCGAAGTAATTTCATTCAATGACTAGCACTGTGTTGTTTATCCTTAACACGAGTTTTATCAAAATCATCTCTTGACGATAGTTTTTTTTTTCTTTTTTATTTAAACCAATAACAAGTTCATATAACATTTTGTTTTTCATTCCTTTTTTCAATCATCTCTCTTCTTCTCACATTTCTCATTAGAAATTCAATCAAAATTAAACAAGTATTTTTTTATTATTTTTTATTTTTTTTTTTTATTTTCAAGAAAAATCATTTCAATTAAAATAAAAAAGAAAAAAAAAAAGAAAAAAATTTCAAGATATGCAAGAATTTAGATATATTTGTTTTATGGAAGTAAAATTTTCAATAATATCTTCGAGCAATATGCGGTTTTGAATTTACATAAAAGAATGAGCACTTTTCTTTAGAAGGGAGGGGGAGGGGGGAAAGGGAGAGAAGGGTTTCGTGTTAAACACAGAAAGAAAGACGTTGTTTGTCGTTTATAAGTGTTTTACGAGCCGATGAGGAAAGAAACCACCCAAGGATTACAGATACTTCAAGATTTGCGTGGGACGCTTTAAATGCGTCGTTTAACGGAACCTTTTCTACCACACAAAAATTTATCTTTTTTTTTTGTTTTGTTTTTTTTTAAATCTTTTTACTACCATCCTAACCAAAGAATGTGATTTATTTTCTAATTCAAGAATTAACAAAATTATTTCTATTGTGATAAAAACAAAACAAAATAATGCATCAAATTATTATTATAAATATTACACGTAATAATTATTTAATTAATAGTTAAAAAAAATATATATTTACAATATAATTACAATCAATTTTAATTTAAAAATTATTATTTGAAACTTTGATCTGATGATAGAAATAAAAAAAACAAAACAATGTATCAAATTATTATTGTAAATATAAATAATAATTAATAATAAAAAATATACTTATATAACAATTATTACATTGTTATTATAAATATTACACGTAATATTTAATTAATTAATAATTAAAAAAAATATATATTTACAATATAATTACGATCAATTTTAATTTAAAAATTATTATTTGAAACTTTGATGTGACGATAGAAATAAAAAAAACAAAACAATGTATCAAATTATTATTGTAAATATAATTAATAATTAATAATAAAAAATATACTTATGACAATTACTAAATTGTTAATATAAATATTACATGTAATAATTAATTAATTAATTAATATTAAAAATTATTATTTGAAACTTCGATGTGATGATAGAAACAAAAAAAACAAAACAATGTATCAAATTATTATTGTAAATATAATTATTAATTAATAATAAAAAATATACTTATATAACAATTATTACATTGTTATTATAAATATTACACAATAATAATTAATTAATTAATTAATACTACAAATTATTATTTGAAACTTTGATAATAAACACTTTCTTAATAATCAAATATACACGTGTACATACATAAGTAAATGGTAAATAAATACTAAATTATATTTCAGTAAAATATCTTCATATTATGAAGATCAAAACTTTGTATTAGTGTTAGAAATAGAATATGGTTCTCTGTATAATCTGGAGAAGGTATAGTAAGTCTGTAAAAGTGGTGTAAATCTTCTCAGTGGGTTACACGTGAAGTAATAGTTATAACACACGCACATACTACTCTATATATATCTCTCTCTTACCAACTAGATTATCTGCTATCTCAAACCCTTATTCCTTATGATAAGGAAGAATAAGAATAAGAATAAGAAGAAGAAGAAAGTAAATGCTTTCGAGAACATTGCGTTGTTCGCAGATTATCCTAGTAGAAATTTGGCTTCCTGTCGTAGACAGAATATTAAAACACTTCCATTTTTTAAAAAATAATTATTAACAAGATATTTTATTATATTTTAATATTAATTTAATTGTTCATCGAAAGAAAAAGAAAAATGTATCCAAAATGTATCCAAAATGTATCCAATGTAACATTTTTGAACAAATTTCAATCAGGCTGACAAAAGTATATTTATTATTATATTTTTTTATTTTATTTAAATATATATTTAATTTTATATGTGATCAAAATCATTGGATCGTAAAAACAAAAGGAAAATAATCTACTTAAAAGTACTTTGACAAGAATTACGAGATATATTTATGTGTTATTTACACGATCATTTAATCCAGTTTCCCCATTTTATTGTTAGAACGATAAAAAAAAAAAAAATAAAAAGGTAAAAAAAATAAAAAATGTTCTAGCGACTAACACACGATCGCGTGACCGTCCCACTCTTTTCCCTACCCTCCCCCCAACTTCCACCTATAGTTTAAAGGTAAAATGGGTTAAACGAGTTACCATATCGTAGGTGAACGAGGGAAGCGGAGATTAAGATCCAAACTGAACTTAGCAGAGACTTTACTAAATTTGACGCAATAGTTTGCCTTAACTTTACTTGAGATCGTAAACCAGATTATTTCATACTAACTAATGAAGATAAATTACTATAACGTTACCGGGTTAATCAGATTGTTTTTCAACAAAACAAAAACTAATTTTTCCTTCTTTTTTACCCTTTCCTAAACCTTACCCATTCTATTTAATATATATATATATATATATATAATCATTTTCAACTTTTATATTTGAAATAACATGGTTATATTAATATTTATTTTATATTCACAATTTAATTTAATTTTATTTTAAAATTGTCAGAAAAAAAGTATATCAATTGTAAATTAATATAAAATTAAATTTTAGTATATATAACTTTAGTATTATTAATATAATATATATATATATATATATATAAAATAGAAATATAATATTATTATATTAATATAATATATTATTATAATATAATATATAAATATAATTATAATAATTAAAATATTAATTCTAATATATATTATATTAATATTATAATAATTTATATTACAATAATATTTTAACATTATAATAATATTAATATAATATATACATATTATATTATAATAATAATATAAAATATATATGTACCATAAAATTTTCCTACATACTATATTTAAATATATATATCTACTACGAATAATAATATTAAATATTAAATAATCTAATAGAATAAAAATGAAGAATAAATTATAAATTATAAAAAGTGCAGATTAAAAGGTGATGAGGTACTTTAACCATTAAAATTATTAAAATTATGATCAAACCATGAATTTTTCAGAATATCGAACACGATAATGGTTCAAGTACTATGACACACGTAACGTTATCTATCCTTGGAAACCACAATCTATCTATCCTTTTCTTCCATTTCACTTCTTTTCCTATTTTCCTTCTTTTTCCAACTACCACCTATACGCGGGACACAATGAGACCCTCCTCCTCCTCCTCCTTCTCCTCCTATTTTCTCCTCCTCTTCCACCTTCGTCGATGGTCTCTCGAACTCTTGAAATATGGTTACAAGCTGAACGACCTCGAAGACCGGGAACACCTTACGATGTCCGGTCGGAATGAAACTTAGATTTTATTGCCGAGAACCCTGGAGTTTCAACGATTACCTCTCTTTCTCTTTCTCTTTTTCTCTTTTTCTCTTTTTCTTTCTCTCTCTAACAATTTTATGTACGATCTATCCCACCACGTATTCTCCCATTCTCCTGTTTTCGAATCTTACGTTCAATATCCTTTCAAACAGCATCCTACTATCATCCTAGCCTATGAGACTAGACCTAGATGGGGCTGAGAGGATAGGGGTTGATGGTACTCTCGTATTTTCTCATTCTCCCTTTTCCCAACCCTCGCCACTACCACTTCATCCCTCATTCTTCTTCTTATTATTATTATTCTCATTCTTATTCCCATTTCCATTTTCAAGTCTAGTTCTGATTTTCAAAAGCTTCATTTTCGTCAAGCTCGTATATAATGTTTGATATTTATTATTCATTCGTTAAAAATGAATTTTATTTTTTTATTATTATATTTTAATAGGGGAATTTAAATAGGAATGATGATGATGATTTTTTTTTTTTTTTTTAGTACTTACTTCCAAAAAACAACGGAAACTATAGCTGCCATCAAAAGTAGTACCACACCGCATGTGATTATCAGGGCAGTGCTTTGTAGCGACGGATTTGTGTGATAAGAAGCGTCGATCATCTGAAATAAATAAAGAACAAGAATTGTATTAATATAATAATAATAATTATTATTATTTAAGACAATGATATTAAAATGAAGTAAAAGTAGAAGAAGAAGAAGAAGAAGAAATGTTTATTGAATTGTACAAGAATGAAATACTTAAGAATTGTTTTAATATAATAAAAAAATTATTATTTAAAGTAAACGATTTAAAAAAAAAATAAAATAAAAAAAATGTTGTGTAAAAGAAGAAGAAGAAGTTCATCGAGTTTACTATATCAATGTCAAAAAGCAACGTGATATTTCGCACTGTTAGGTATACTCGACTTTTACTCGCGACAAGTTTTCAGGAGTTCATTTAATACCCGTTGAACGAGGAGTTAATTAAACCCTTTACGTATAACTAAGTAAGTAAAAAAAAAAAAAGAAAAAAATAAAAAATAAAATTTACAAAAAATAAAAAAAAATAAAAAGGATGAGAAAGGAGGAAGAGAAAAAGGAAATGAGAAAAAACGTGTAAAAAAAAAAAAAAAGAAAAAAGAATAAAATAAAAAAAGGGGATAGCAAGAAGCAAAAAGTGGAGGAGAGTGGAAAGGATGAAAGATGCAAGGACGAAAGCAAACGAGGAGTAGAAGGAAAAGGATGTGAGGGGTTGGTTGTGTGAAGAGTGGGGGGCTGAGGGGAATAGGAGAAGGTGGATCTCCGCTTTCCTTAATATTAATTACCGCCCCTGCTAATTACTTAATTTATTTAAGCTTTTCACGTATAAGTAAGATTTTTACATTACAACTCCAGCCGACGTGCGATACAAAGGAAAAAAGCAGCCCCGATGAAAAAGTTAAATAAAAAGTTTTTTAATTTTTTCCACCCTTTACCACCACCACTGTCAGACGACGACACAATCATTACTAACACCACCATCTTTTTTAAACGTATTCCCCGTAGGTCTTTTCGTGGTTCTCTAACACGAGGTTCTGATAATTTTGAATCTTTAGTAAAAGTCGAAAGACTGTACCCTACTAATTATTATTATTATTATTATTATTATTATTATTATTATTATTATTATTATTATTATTATTATTATACCATCTTGATATTAAATTAAACTAAGAATAAAAAGAAAATAATAATTCTACTTTCTTTTCTTCTTTTTCGTTAATTTTAGTTAATGAAAAATTACTAGTATAAGAATAAAAAAAAACTTATCGTAGAAAACCGTGATTTTTTTTTCCCCCTCCAAATTTTTGTAATTTGTTTTTAAACAATTTATATAATATTTTATTTGTAAATTTACTACTTGTACTTTTTAATTGAAAATAAATGAGAAAGAGTTAGTTGCTCAACATTGTTTCCAATTTCATAAACAATTCAGAAAATTGTAGTTAACTTTGAAAGTGTGTTACAGTGTTAACAAAAAAGTAATCTTTGATTTTATATTCTTTTATTAAAAATGAGTTAATGATATTTGACGTGAAACGTTACACACAAAGTTGCAGAAATATTTTTCTGAAACTGTGAAGTAAAAAGTATCAAAAAGAAAAAGAAAAAATTTAAAAAAAAATGAACTAACCCATGTATCGTAAATTGGTTTTTCAAATACAAACTCACGTTGGAAAATGATTAAGGTCGTCGAAGCATCGACGCGTGGACACAAAAAAAAAATTAGTATCCCTATCTGTAGAAAACGAGGAAGGACGAACCTTTGTAAGGGCGATTGTTAAACGAAATTACGAACTCAATGCTACGGGTTTTTCAGAGACTCGTTAAAAGAAACGAAAGAGAATGAGTGAGAGAGAGAGAGAGAGAGAACAAATACGTTTGAAAATTGCGATCTCGAGAATACCGACACAAACTCGTGCAATTAATACAAGCTTTATTGCTATACCAAAGAGAAACCAGAAGTGTTGTATTAAACGGATGGCATTACCGAATATATATATAATATATAAAAAAACAATTTTAACAAAGACATATATATATATCAGTATTGGATAATTCGAATTCTCTTTGACATAGGTTGGAATAATTCGATCAACGATATTTTTATATTACAATGAATTCCAGCTTGAATTCATACGTTTTCATCTGATCATTATTTTTCTATTTTTGTACTTTTCATTTTTTATTTAATAAATCATTCGTTCAAATATACTTATGATATATTTAATAATACAAAAGAAAATTATATTTTACATTCGTAAAAAATAGATATGAATTTTATGAGAAATAATAGTATAATAATAATAATAATAATAATAATAATAATAATAATAATAATAATAATAATAATAATAATAATAACAATAACATTTTACAGAGATGATAAACTTTTATAACTAGGTTATTACTAGGGGAAGTCAAATAACATGAAATCTTGGTAATATCGCGATAACTTATTTCCGTTTACCGTGCAGTTTTCAATCGGTTCATCGAACGATCTTTTTCAACACATACACACATATACATATACATATGTATAGAAAGGGATATAAAATATAGATGAATATATAGTGAACAGATCAATGTTGTAAAGAAGGTGACGAAACGATGATAGTAGTAGTAATGGGGTACCCCATACTAAAGGAATAACATCAATACATCATACTATATATATAAGTATTGGTGTTGCTTTGCAAGGGTGGTGATATCAATGGGTAGGTGTATTGGGGTGGCTGGCTGGCTGGCTCGTGTTACGTGTCGTGCTTACAAAAAGGGAAAGTGATTTTGATCCAAACGGGGGTAAAAATGGAGAAAAGAGAGAATATTTTTAGGAAGGAGAGGACTTCCTTTTCCAAGAGTACAACACAAAAAAGAAAAAAATATATATATCTAGTATGCTTTTATGTATAGGACTAGTATAACCAAGCAAGATGGGAAATAACCAACTCCCTTTAGTCCTCCTTTTTCTGTCGTCTTGATTCTTTGGGACTATTTTCAATCGATTGGTTATGTGTGCTGGTTCCTACTACTACTACTACTACTACTATTATAATATAATATAGTAGTATTGGGTTGGTAAATAAATGATTGAATATAATGATTGAAATAAATGATTTTCCTGATAGCTGGCTTTTTAAAATCAGCAATGATTTAGTTACTAACCCGATAGTATAATATAGTAGTAGTAATAGTATATATATGTATTTATTATAGTATTATATAATATATATATAGTAATAAGCATAATAAATAAATATATATACGATACTAGTTTAGTAGTAGTAATACTAGTAGTGTATTTTATATTACATTTAAGTACTAGTAATACTAGTAATGTATTTTATATTATATTTTAGTAATAGTATATATATTTATTTTATATTATATTTAAGTGATAATATTAGAAGGGACCTGAAAGAAATAGGATACGAAGACCGCGAATGGAAGGATTGGGCTCAGGGATGGGAACAATGGCGGGATTTGGTATTTGCGGCAATGAACTTTCGAGTTCCTAATGCCGATTAATAATAATAATAATAAATAATAATTATATTTAAGCAGTAGTATATATATATATTTAATATTTTATTTTAGTAGTGGTATATACGTATATTTTTTATATTTTATTTTAGTAGTAGTATATATAATTTAAATATAAATATGATATTATTTTAGTAGCTGTAATACTAATACTATAGTTAATATTACATTTTTTAGTATTATATATATAAGTTAAGAAATGTTGATAAAAAAAAATGTAATAACTATACTATACATAAAAATAACTATACTATATATAAAAATAAGAAGGACACTCGTCAACGTAAGGCAACGAAACCAACCAACCAACAACCACTACGTTATCCTCCACCCCTATCATCACGATAAGATTTCTATACACGTTGAAGAAAAAAAAGGTAAGGTAAAGTAAAAAAAAAAAAAAAGAAAATAGTTAGGGTGAGAATATGCCGCGAGATAGGAATATATTGTGTTACACTCTTGTCGTTTGGCATCGGCCCAACGAAAGCAACATTTATCAAAGGGAGGAATACTCTCCCTTTTTACCTCCTACCTACCCTTCTTCATCCCTGCACGCACATAGTACGCACTTATTTGCGAGAATGACTTTCCTTCTTCTTTTTCCTTTTCTTCAAGGAAAAACTTTTCACTTCTCTTTCTATCATTTCTTTTCTTTTCTTTTCATTTTTTTTTTTCTATTTTCATCTCACTTCAGTGAAAGAAGCAATAGTAGTAGCACGTTTCCTCCCCTTTTTTCTCTTCAAACCTACCTACCCTTCCTTCCTTCCTTCCTTCCTCCCACTCCTCCTTTTTTTTCTATCTTTCTCTTTCGTTAGTTTTCTTTTTTCTTGGTTTCTGTTCGTCTCATTTTCTCTTTGGACCCCTTCGCGAAAAGCTCATCGCTCATCATTACGAAGATATTAATGGCGTTGGCTAATGGATTCAGTCTCTGAGAGAGAAAGAGAAAGAGAGAAAGAGAAAGAAATAAAGAGAGAGAGAGAGAGTGTGTGTGTATGTACCTTCAGTAAGAGAATCTTCTCTTCTTCCTTTCTATTCTATCTATTCCCTTTTCTAACTTACACTCCCCCAAACTCCTTCCACTCACCCAACTCCAACTGCCACCCTTTTTACTCATCTTACCTATCTACCTTCCTACCTACCCCTCCTAACAACTTTTTCTCCCTCTCTTTCTCTCTCTCTCTCTCTATCTCTTTTGCTTGCTCGAATGTTTTCTCTTCAACTCTCAGAGTGAAATTTGGAAAATAAAGCTAGTCCGGATGATGTATCGTTTTTAGCGTGAGTTCGTACCTAAACAATACTAGAAAGATAGACAGTTATATATATGTATAAAGAAAGAGAAAGAGGAAGAATTCGAAATGGTTTAGTAAAAAAGGTTGTTCCTTCATTTGGAAATCTCATTTTCGTTGTAAGGGTGCAAATAGAAAGAGTACAAATAAAAACAATAGAATAAAGATGAAATAGAACCAAATACCAAATGAAATAAAATAAAATAAATATAAGAACAAACATTTAGATTTGCAAATTTTCTATTACAA